TTTTCCTATACAGTACCTGTTCAATAATTTAAAAAAAATACCTGCTGATCCTGCCAGAAATCTTATGAGCTGACAACTTAATGTGCTCCCTGCCTGTTCTGAAATATTAACAATTATGTGATCAAACCTATGCCAGAAGGAAAACCCAACACAGATAAATGGGGAGTACCTTGTTTAACAAGTTACTATTGAAAAATGTGAGGAAACTACAAATGACCTTTCTTGATACCCCATAGATGACAATGCAAACCATAATATAATAAAAATTATTTTTTATTACACCATTATAAAAGCAAAAGAGTGAAAACATATAACATGTCCCCTCACAACATGCTGAAGATTGTTGTTCTGCAACCAAAGATTGTACAATAACTCCTATTGATGAGCAAAGCTTACATAGCTGTAGCATAGGAAAACAACAGACTCCAGAAATGATTTTATCCTCTACATGTTTCGTGGTTCATGCCTCTTCTTCAGGAGGCAGAGAGGAAACATACTGTATTACCTGCTGAATTAAAAAAATAATAAACACAAAAGGCATCATACAATAATGCACAACATACTGTAATATCATTGAACAGAACACTAGGCTAGACATTGAAACTCACCCACCATGGAATATGAAGGGAACCCATCATAGAACAGGAATTGGGCACAAGCCCCTCCCTGGGATTGGACCAGTACAGCCACCAAGCAGAATATGCAGTATCTACAAGAATATATAAGGAACTCTTTGATAGGTTTGGATACAATCAGCTAAAGAGTATAACCACACAATTGCCTAAAGTCTATACTGACCACAGGTATTAATGGAAAAAACGTAATAGGTGTGGTCAAAATAGAATGAGAGCAGGTCTTTATTTCCTCAATGGTGGGGCAGCACCATTGAAGACAAAATATAAAGGCCCACGATAATAAGCTAGCAATCTGCCCCACAAGCTACAACAAAAAGGGAGCAACAGTTGTGCAAAAAAGAGGTGGTGGGGGGGAGAGAACAGTTATCAGGTGCATCACTCCCAGCTATCTCTGTGAACTATAACCCCACCCTTACCCCCCATGTTTATGGAGGACAGGAATGGGGAGATAGTTTGTAGTCCTGTGCAAGAATGAAAAAGCTGCTCCTCCATGGATGCCATGGGGTCAGTGAACATTGTTACCCTGGGACAGATTTAATTTTACTGTCAGATTCTCCAGGTGAAAAAAAAAGTCTGAAAAAGAAAATAAATGCAGCCACCACATCCAAGAACTGCTAAGCTATATATAATACATTTTTGCTCATGGGTTTGGACTTTAAAATGAAAATAAGTAGTATATTGGGTGAGTTGCTGATCCTATGCCTAGGAATGAAAGGAAAGAAAAAAGACTTCCTTTTAATTTTTTAACCTTTTAAAGTGGTTGTAAACCTCAGACATGAAACACGAACAAAGCATATCCCTCTATAGTGTGCAACTAAGACCACTAAGTGTTATTTTTGTCTGGTGCTTTGTTCCTCTTCTATCATGGATGACTTCCTTCAAGTTTTGCTGGCAACAAGAGAAAAATATTGACAGCGGATTGACCTCCAGCAGATTGACAGCCTCAGCTCTATTCCTGTGAGCTGAGAGGAGGGGGTGTCTCTTCCCTCCAATCAGCTCTTAGAGCTCTCCTCACTGAGCTCTGCAGAGTGTAACTTCAGCTCTCCTCCCCCTTTTTTCTGAACTCTCAGATAAGCTTTATAAATTCAGCACTTTGAACGGATGTAGAGAAGAGAATACTGCAGATAGACAGGTGCAACTTATGTAGGAGGATTTGTTTCATCTCTGTTTATCTGAGGCCATTCACTTCACTGGGTATATGTAAGGGTTTACAACCACATTAAACACTGTGTTTAGGTTTTTTATATGTATTATGGTAATTTTTTTGTTTGTTTGTTTTGTTTTTTAACCTTTGTTTGTTAAATATGAAATAGTGCGCATTAATACATTTTATTATCTTTTGATACAGAAGGTGGAGATTTAGGTTTCTTTTTACTTGTTTTCTTCTTTTTCTTGGTCTGTTATAGAGCTCACAAGCACTCAAGCTGAAATGTACCCATATACATATGCAGCTCAAGAGTCATTTACCCCACAGCTCAGTCTGAGAGATGTATCTGAAAGTAGATACCTACTACAGTGCTCTATTTTTAGAAAACTCATAGTGCCCTGGGAATCATGTTTTAAAATTTAAAAAATTAATAAAGTCCTCAACGAAAAAGTTATTGGCTTACTTTACCCTCATAATGTCTATAAGCCCAAATACTTAGCAGCAGTTGCAGTAGCAGCAACAATATCATCCAGCCGTGAAAGGAATTCTCCTAATCCTATCCAAACTAAACCCAAGTCAGTCTGCACACACCTCCTATTTCCTTTTTACCTATCCCCTTCATTAACCTTGAATTGTCTTTTAACCGGTTCGTGCCTGACATATACAATGACGGCTGGGTGGGACTTTCCTCCTTCTGGGTGGACGTCATATGACGTTCTCCCAGACTTGCTTCTCATGTGTCCCGGGGGGCACGCAACGCGGTGATCAATGGTGAGTGGTGAGCTGTGTCCTTCGGACACAGAACATCAGAGATCAGGGTAAAGAGACAATGATAGAGGCTCCAATCACAGCCAATCACAAGCCAATCACAAGTGTAAACAGAGAATGGTACTGGTACTGAATTCTCCTCACGCACGGATCTTGTGTGAGGAGGAGAACCCAGGAACTGTGAGTTACCAATTTAACTCTACTCACTACTGCGCAAAACACTGCCCTGATTATCCCTGGAATAAAGAGTAGCTGTCACAGTAGCTATCAGTGCAGCCCAATTAGTGTACCTGTCACAGCAGCCATCAGTGCAGCCTAATCAGCGTACTTTGAATACAGGAGAAATAAGTGAGCGCTAAATAGAATCAACATTAACAGCAGCTGTACACCAAAGGGCACCATAATAGACCTCCACAAGGAGCTCAGAGGAACTGCAGCCCCGAGAAGCCTCTGGTAGTGTGACCCCGGAGTAGCGGCAAGATGAGTTCCCCCATGAAGATGTGTGTCCCTGATGCATCTGTGCATATCACGGTTTTTGACAGCAGTAGATGTTCGACGATCACCATCCATAGCACAGAACAGGGAGTGAGATATACTGTGAAGAGATCTGACCAGATCTATCTGATGATATTGGATGACCTGTGATTTCTACGATCAATGCGCATTTGATTTGCGTATCTGGTGAGTGCGCAATCATATTACTTTATATCACCTGACCCACGGTCTCCGTCATAGGACATCCTTAGATCATTTGGGATCTCACCATCACCTTCTTTATGAACTTTTATATTGTATTTCACATTTTCCAGCACTATTAGCCACGAATTAGTGGCCTATATATTTATTTGCACATGGTCACTTTACTATGTCATTTGTTTATAACCTTTTTATGTGTTATAGATTTTAGGAGCGCTGCACCCCTCTGTGTTATACTTGTAATCAGCGTACTTGTCACATCAGCCATCAGAGCAGCCTAATTGTACATGTCACATAGCAGCCTTTAGAGCAGCCCATCAGCGGTGTACCCACCAAAAAGCCATCATCAGTGCTGCCTATCATCAGTGTACCCATCACAGAGCCATCATCAGTGTACACATCACAGAGCTGCCATCACTGCCACCCATTAGCAGTGTACTCATCACACAGCCGCCATCAGAAGTGTACCTATCCCAGTATCACCAGAGCCTCCCTGTCCAAACAATTTTATACTAGTGAGGAAGCATTTTAAATCCTCAGTATGGCAGATGAGAGCAGTGAGGAGCACTCGCCATCTGATTTTGTTTTGGAGTATGACCCTGTTAATGACAGAATCAGATAAGGAAACAATCCCTCCTAAAAGAATAGGATGCTCTGAAGACCAGGCAACCACCAGCAGTGCCATTCACTCAAATGGTGAATCAGAAAACCCCAACAGCACAAGATCCCTGAATAAAAGGCCAAGTATTAGTAGTAGAGAATCAGACTCCAAGAATTAGGGCCCATACATATCTCCCAGGCACACTTGTGAACCCATTATGGCTGCCTTCCAAAGCAGGATCAAATGCAATCCCCCTTTTATCAAAATCACATAGCCAGGCATTCAGGCTAAAACAAAAAATGTTTCACTTACAATTTACTTCAGTTGGTTGTGGACTAGACCAATCTTTTGCCCAGCAAACAACCCCAATTCATCCTCTGCCTGTCCATTTGAATGGAAACATCTCACAGTGGAGGAATTCAAATTATTTTTGGACTGTACAATTAACATGGGGCTTTCAAAAAAATGTATTAAACACATACTGGTCCAACCACCCCATCCATCACTTGCCAATTATTCATCTGTAATGTCCAGGTCAATCTATGATATGATCATGAATAGAGATGAGCGAATCGAACTTGGCGAAGTGGAATTCGTTTCGAATATTAGGAAAAATTTGATTCGCGCCGAATCCGAAAATTAGCAAACTTCGGATGCACGAATCGAATTTTCCCCGATCGGCTGATTTTCATCCCTTCTACAGCCGGCAAAAAGTGTCCCTGCAGAGAGCTCCGCTATTTCTGACAGTTCTCTGACAGTTCCTTCACATTTACAGCGGTTGAAACATTGTATCTATTTGTTTCCATTTAGGATACAGATGTTTTTATTCGGAAACAAATAGATACAATGTTTCAACCGCTGTAAATGTGAAGGAACTGTCAGAGAACTGTCAGAAATAGCGGAGCTCTCTGCAGATACACTTTTTGCTGGAATGGAATTCTTCTTATTTTCATCCTACTTCTTCTTCTTCTTCTTCTTCATCCTCATCCTCTTCTTCTTCTTCTTCATCCTCATCCTCTTCTTCTTCTTCTTCTTCATCCTCATCCTCTTCCTCTTCTTCTTCTTCTTCTTCTTCTTCATCCTCATCCTCTTCTTCATCCTCATTCTCTTCTTCTTCATCCTCATCCTCTTCTTCTTCATCCTCATCCTCTTCTTCTTCTTCTTCTTCTTCATCCTCATCCTCCTCTTCTTCTTCTTCTTCTTCATCATCCTCATCCTCTTCTTCTTCTTCTTCTTCTTCTTCTTCTTCACCATCATCCTCTTCTTCTTCTTCATCCTCATCCTCTTCTTCATCCTCATCCTCTTCTTCTTCATCCTCTTCTTCTTCTTCTTCTTCTCCTTCTTCTTCTTCCTCATCCTCATCCTCTTCTTCTTCTTCTTCTTCTTCTTCTTCTTCATCCTCATCCTCATCTTCTTCTTCTTCATCCTCATCCTCTTCCTCTTCTTCTTCATCCTCATCCTCTTCTTCTTCTTCCTCATCCTCATCCTCTTCTTCTTCTTCATCCTCTTCTTCTTCTTCTTCTTCATCCTCATCCTCTTCTTCTTCTTCTTCTTCTTCTTCTTCTTCTTCTTCCTCATCTTCTTCTTCTTCTTCATCCTCATCCTCTTCCTCTTCTTCTTCATCCTCATCCTCTTCTTCTTCATCATCATCATCCTCATCCTCTTCTTCTTCTTCATCCTCATCCTCTTCTTCTTCTTCTTCATCATCCTCATCCTCATCCTCTTCTTCTTATTCTTCTTCATCCTCATCTTCTTCTTCTTCATCCTCATCCTCTTCTTCTTCTTCTTCTTCTTCATCCTCATCCTCTTCTTCTTCTTCTTCTTCTTCTTCCTCATCCTCATCCTTCTTCTTCTTCTTCTTCTTCATCCTCATCCTCATCCTCTTCTTCTTCTTCTTCTTCATCCTCATCTTCTTCATCCTCATCCTCTTCTTCTTCTTCTTCTTCATCCTCATCCTCTTCTTCTTCTTCTTCTTCTTCCTCATCCTCATCCTCTTCTTCTTCTTCTTCTTCTTCCTCATCCTCATCCTCTCTTCTTCTTCTTCTTCTTCTTCTTTATCCTCATCTTCTTCTTCTTCATCCTCATCCTCTTCTTCTTCTTCATCCTCATCCTTCTTCTTCTTCTTCTTCTTCTTCTTCTTCTTCATCCTCATCCTCTTCTTCTTCATCATCCTCTTCTTCTTCTTCTTCTTCTTCATCCTCATCCTCTTCTTCTTCTTCTTCCTCATCCTCATCCTCTTCTTCTTCTTCTTCTTCTTCATCATCCTCATCCTCTTCTTCTTCTTCTTCTTCTTCATCCTCATCTTCTTCTTCTTCATCCTCATCCTCTTCTTCTTCATCATCCTCATCCTCATCCTCTTCTTCTTCTTCCTCACCCTCATCCTCTTCTTCTTCTTCTTCTTCTTCATCCTCATCCTCTTCTTCTTCTTCATCCTCATCTTCTTCTTCTTCATCCTCATCCTCTTCTTCTTCAATTGAATCTGCTTCTGCTCCGCCACTCTGCAATTGGACTCTTGATAGTCGTCTCCCCACACTGCTGCTGGGGGGACTTTTTAACATAGGCCTCTGTATGGCCTTCAATTTAAGCTGCTTACGCTTTGCCACTCTGCCATGGGCCCCTGTACCGCCTCCTCATGCTGCTGCCAGGTCCAGAGTGTGTCATGGGTCCCTGTACGGCCTCCCATTGCTGCTGTCTCCATCGCCACACTCTGCCATGTGCCACTTTCAGGTCTCCTCACACTGCTGGTGGGTTCCATTTTGTCATAGGGTGCTGTATGGCCTCCCATTGCTGCTGCCTCCACCGCCACACTGTGGCTCCACACTCTGGTTTTGGCCCCGTGACTGCCCAAATGAGTGAAGTGTGCGGTGATTCTAAGATCGACGGCACTCATCTGCATGTCATACTGACTGACAGTATTATTTCTCTTCCCCAGCAGACTCCAAGGGCATTTAAATTAAAGGTACAGTGTTCTGCACTAATATAAAGGCTCTCTGAAGCCTAGAAACCCTTTTAATAAGTTAAATTCGCAGCGAATAAATTTGCATCGAATCGAATTTATTCCGCAAATTCGGCGAATCAGCCGAATCGAATTTTTGAATAATTCGCTCATCTCTAATCATGAACTTCCTCCATTTCAGCAATAATTCACAGTGCCTCCCCTATGATCAGCCTGGCTATGATAAGCTTTAAAAAATATGCTCATTAAATATTTTTTTTTCCAAGATATTTGCTTAATTGTATATCCTTGACAAAAACATCTGTGTGGATGAGTCCCTTGTCCACTTCACTGGTTGGGCAGGAATCAAGCAGTACATTCCCAGGAAAAATTACCAGATATACAGTGTATGAAGGTAAAGATTCCCAGCTCCAGCCCTCTGAGTGCCCAACCTACAACGACACAAGTGGAAAAACTGTTTTGTCTACCTAGATAACTTTTACAAAAGTCTGCCCCATGTCACCACCTCTACCTCCAGAAAACCTTGACCTGCGGTACCACCCTAACACACAGTAAGGGATTCCCACAGAGTCTGGTGACCACAAGGCTACAGAGGGGGGGGGGAGTCTGAGGAATGACAAAGCGTTGGCCATCTTATGGAGGGATAAGAGAGATGTATACATTCTGTCCACCATCCACAATGACACCTCGGTGGAAATTCATAGAAGATGTGGTCCCATACAAAAGCCTGAGTGTATCCATGATTATAATCAATTCATGAGGTGGGGGGGGGGGGGGTTGGATTCAAACGATCAGATGCTACAGCTCTATTTATCATTAAGAAAGTACCTCTTCTGATATAAAAAAGAAAAAAGTTGAATTTTACCTTTTCCATTTGGCTATTTTAGTGCAAGATGGCATCCCTGCCCTAACCTACCAGCAAGGATTTCCACCAGAAAACATTTGCTCCGATTGTGTCAGCAGGCGTCATGAGTGCCATTTCCCTGAAAACATTCCACCAACAGAAACAAGAAGATGCAAAAAAAAAAATGTAGGGTATGCAGCAGAGGGGGACTTAGGAGAGACACCAGTGTTCATTGTCCCCAGTGTCCCTTCCAGCCGGACCTATGCATCAGAAACTGCTTCCGACTTTATTACACGTCACTAAAATATTAGTTCCCCTTATTTTTAACAGCCTGTCATTTCCCCATTTCTATTATCTGTGCTGAACATTTATGTGCTGCTTCAACTGACCATCTTCCTTCCACCTTAAATGATCCTAGCTTGTATATTGATGATGTCTCTGCCTGCCGTCTGTATTATTTATAAAACATTTGTCTGCCTGCCACCTGAACTTACCCTGGGCTGTTTATCAATGATTTTATATATTTTATTTCAGATACTTATATAGCGCTATCAATTTACACAGCACATTACATATATGTTTAACATTTACATTAGTCCCTAACCCTCAAGGGGCGTACAATCTAAGGTCCCTAACTCACAATCATAAATACACATACTGGGGCCAATTTAGACAGGATTCAATTAACCTACCAGTATATCTTTGGAATGTGGGAGGAAACCGGAGTACCCAGAGGAAACCCACGCAGGCACAGGGAGAACATGCAAACTCCAGGCAGGTTAATTTAACAGCAGTTTAACAGCAGAGATGCAGAACATAGTATGGGGATGCTGTCCTTGGTGCTGAAATCATGTGCTACCAAACTACAAGAACAATGCTGAGCAGTTAAATAGACTTTTGAAATACATACAGTATAAGAGATCTGCTTCATCTGTTAAAGGATTTGTATTCCTGTCTATCTTGTCTTGAGAATTACACAGCCCTGTCAAACAGCACAGCTAGGTTGGTAATGTGACTCTTCTTTACTGCAGTTAAGCAATACTGCTAGATCAGCTACCTGCCCCTAGCCAGTGACTGGACAGAAAAGGGAATCATCACATTAACAAGCTCATCCTACTGATACTTTGATCTATCATGCTGCAGCATGATTCTTGAAAGGACATAACTATGCAACGGAGTCTGATTGACTCCTAGTGCTGCCCCTACCTCCCCCATTCTGAAAGTTGCTGTGCAGAGGATGATATCAAGACAGAGTTGGGTACCACATCTTCCCACATCAGCAACCACCTGTACAGTGAAATGTGGGAGCTGCAGGCAGGTGCTATTAATCCTAATGGCATGCTACCCGCACTGAAAATCGCATCTGCACTGGGAACTGCATTGTACTTGCTGTTCCTGTGCAGGCTGCAATTTAAAAAATAGTGGTGCCGTGGTTGGGATTCGAACCAATGACCCTAGTACTGACAGGTGGAAGTGCTAACCATTTAGCCACTGTGCTTCCCATGATGCCTCTGCATGCTGTCTGAATTGTTTCTCATCTACGCTTCTGCCTTCTACCTGCACTGACCTCAGCTTGTTAATTAATCATGTTTTTTGCCTGGCGCTTGGAGTGATCTTTTGCCCTGCTACTGTAGTAGTGAGATTCTAGATAACACAGGGGTCTCACATATGTTATGAGTAGAGAAAAAGAGTTTTTAATTTTGTAATTCCCGCATCAGGGTCTGGAGTCCAGAGGTTTCAAAGAGATTTGGGTGGAAGGAAGCCTTTACCTCTATGTCCAGGTCTTACCTGAATAAGGTCCTAAGTCTAATGTTCCTGCTTGATGGCTGGACCAATACTTTGCTGCGCTTACCATATCTTTGCTTGCTGCCTGAAATAAACCAGAACGTTTTATGAACCATGTTCCTGCCTGTCGCCTGGACAAATACTTTGGCTGTGCTGACCATATCTCTGCCAGCTGCCTCTACTGATTCTGAACTTTTTATGGACCATGTTCCTGCCTACTAGCTGGACCAATACTTTGACTGTGCTGACTATATCACTGCCTGCTACCTGTACTGAACCTGGACCTTTTATGAACCATATTCATGCCTGCTGCCTGGATGACTCCTTTGGCTGTTGCTGATCACATCTCTGCCTGCTTCCTAGATCATTGCTCTCCTCTGTGGACAACTGTTCTACTAAAACCACAGGTAATATTTTGTTTACCCTTTGTTCAACTAGACTGTGAAAATGTCTTATTGGTATTACCATATTCAGAAGGAGTAGCAATGTATTTTGGGGTGAACTTTTTTGGTATGTCTAGGCTGTGTGTTAGAAATATCTTATAATTTGAATATTTTTCATTTTCTTTCTACATTTTCCAAAACCTTGTGAAAAAAATTACATGTTCAAAAGAATGTTATTGCCTCATAGTATATATGTTGTGGTATTTGCTTTCCAAACTGGAAATTTCATGGGTGTTTCAATTGTCCTGGTGCTCCAGGGCCTTCAAAAGTATTATAGGTAGTCAGGAAATTAGGTGTGTAATTTATGCCCTTAGAATGCCTGAAGGTGCTGCTTGGATGTTGGGCCTCTCTATGTGGCTAAGCTGTGAAAAAGTCTCACAAATATGGTATTACCATACTCAGGAGGAGTAGCAGAATGTATTTTGGGGTGTAATTACAAGTATGCCTATGCCGTGTGAGAGAAATAACTTGTAAATATGACAATTTTGTGAAGAAAACAAATTTCATTTATTTTCTTCAATTTTTAGAGTTGTGGGAAAAAAATTGCAACTTCAAAAATCTCACCATACCTCTCACTTAAATACCTTGCACTTTCCAGAAAGGGGTCATTTGGTGGGATATTTGTACAGTCCTGGTATTTTAGGGCCTCCAGAAATGAGATAGGCAGTCAGAACATCAGTATTGATCAATTTTCACTATGATATGTTCCATAGCGTGTAGACTCTATAACTTTCACACAAGCTAAACCAGTGTTTCTCAGTCTTCTTTTAGGCAAGGCTCACTTTAAAATTAGACAGTCTTGAGGCACCCCATACTAAAATGTAAAAAAACTATCTAATAGGTTTATATAACACAGCAACATCCACACATGTGGGGCACCCAACATTAGAAGTGATTTATCCATTCAAAGAAAATACACTTTGCACACTGGTACTGACTAGTATTCCAATGTTTCTCCTGTCCCTCAGTTTTTCTCCATCACTGAGCTGATGTGACCCCAGCACTGATGGAATAGGAAAAGGGAGGGTCAAACAAGGATGCTGTGTAGGCAACCGACATCCTCCTTATTAACTGATGATGAAATTGGTTGTCAGGACGACAGTGGCTAGAAGTCGTAATGGTGCACAATGAAAAACTGTGGCTTTGTGTAGCTAAAAGGCAGGTTTTTTCCACCCACTAGCTTGTATACAAGTTTTGGGCAATTTTTAGACATTTTACCAAGGCACCCCTGAAGAAACCTCAAGGCACCCTGGTTGAAAAAGGCAGAGCTAAATAATATACACTGATTTAGGTTACTTTTTACCAAAGAAATGTAGCAGCATAAATTGTGGCCTAAATTTATGAAGAAAACTACTTGCTTTCAAATTATTATATTATAAACTAAGAAACATACTTTTATTCCTAAAATTTTTGGATATTGCAAGAAATAAAAAACCCAGTGGTTATTAAATACCATCAAAATGAAACTCTGTCTGTCATTAAAAAATGTAGTTTGGGTACAGTGTTGCGTGACTAAGTAATTGTCGTTCAAAGTGTGAGAGAACTAAAAGCTGAAAATTGGCTTTGGCTGGAAGGGGTAAAAGTGTCCTGTACTGAAGAGGTTAAAGGGCCCCACTTCCAAAAAATTAAGGGGATACAGTATATACCTGACACCCAAAATATTTG